GTGGGTGGAAGGGACCAAAGTACCTGGGTCGTCTTCTGCTTTTTTCCCAGGCTCGTTAGCGGACAGCTGGATCAGAAACTCAGCAGTTAGAACTCAAATCGGACTCTGGTAGGGAATGCTGCTGTCACATTTGGCAGCTTAGCTGGCTGCACCACCATGTGGCGGCAGGATGGTTTCCCTAGGCAGGTCCCCAGAGGCGGAATTAACTGAATCCAGGGAACTTGCTTTGATGTTGCAATCCTTGTTGTTGAAGCTGTTGGCATGTGTACTCCCAAACACTTCCCCATGGCTTTTTTTGGAGTGTGCTCCGGCAGGTGACATGTACCACACTTCCCACACTGGTTCTCCTTGGCGCTCCCTTCTCCGAATGCCTACAGGCGTGGTTTCATCTCCGTCACCCACTCAGCTCTCTGCCTGTGTTTCTCTTAGCATGCCCAGTGAAGTGAAGGGGCAGTTCCGCTCGAGCTGGTGGTGTTGCTGGTTGCCTGGAGCTGGCTGTTTTGTATCTTCAGTGGACCTTAATTCTGCATCACACAGAGTGAACATCAGGGTCATGTCTTCTCAGGCTCTGGGCTGGGGACCGTTTTGTGCTCTTATCCTTCCTGGCTTGGAGTGTCCCTGGCTACACTTCCCCTGGTCTTTCTCAGGGTCCCATCCCATGGAGGGGCTTCTGCCTGGAGCTGGTCTAAAAAGGCACCTGCCTCCTTCCTGTGCTGGGCAGGGCTCTCTCAGTTTTTTTCTTCTCCTCTGCTCTGCTTCATCAATTCCCCATCTTGTGCCCTCCCTTTCAGAATCTGGGGCACAACTCAAGATGTTTTTGAGGCACACACAGGATAGATTCAGATGGCAAATGAACTGGGTGTTAAGTAACACTAAGTCACACAATAACTATAATTTGATTAGTCCTTCTCAATGTCCCACCAGTCTGTTTTTTTTTTTCAAAATAAATCTATTTATTCATTTATTTTGTTTGGAAATCAGAGAGAAACAGACTTAATTGCCCATTTGCTTGTTCATTGCCCCAGATAGCAACAATGGCTGGGGCTGGGCCAGACCAAAGCCAAGAACTGGGGATTCAGGTCTCCTGTGTGGGCGATAGGGATCCAAGCACTTAACCATTAACTGCTGCCTCCCAGAGCACACGCTTGCAGGAAGCTGGGGTTGGAGATGGAGCTAGAAGCCAAAAGCAGGCCCTGTGATTTGCAACGCAGGCCCCCGAACCAGCAGCTGCACTGCTAGGCCAAATGTGTCCCCAAGGGGACTGAGGGTGACGCACCTTTTAACATGTCTAGTAGGGTTTCCTTATTATGACACCTATTGTTATACCTACCTTCTATTTCATTCAAGCAATATAAAGATCTCCTTACACGTTTTAAGATTTTTCTAATTTTTTGTCCATCAGCACATGCACCTAGCTTTGTTGCCAGAGGTGGCTGGAATAGAGGTTCTGGTTTTCCCACAAGGAAGAATTTGAGCTGTGAGACAGAGCAGCAACAAGGCCTAATGAGTTAGGGTGCTGGTCAGAACAGGTGGGCACTTCTTCAGATGGATCTGGGCGTGCCTAGCCACTCAGATCTGGGTAGCAAAATCGCAAGGTTTGATGGAGTACACCTGATAGGTCAGGTGGGAGGCTCAGCGAAGGACAGAGAGCTGAGAGCAAAGGCTGTGTTCAGATTGGGGTTTGTAAGTGGGCGGGATGCAACTTTGCTCTCTGAACTCCCCTCTGCGCCCACCTTCTCCTAGACAAAGGGATTGCTGACATGGGTGGAATTCCTTCCGAGGTCTTATTACCCAATGTTATTGGATTGCATAGCCCGTTTGGCACTAGGCAAAGAGAATGTTCCTGGGGGGCTCTCTTTGTGGCTGGGGCCACCTAGGAAGTTATGGGGGCGAGTGTGAGGCTTTGGAGTGTGAAATTCCAGCCTGTTCCTGAGCCTGCTGCATGCCTTGCCTGGCTTTTTTCTTGGGCCCCTTTTACACACCTGTGCTAATTTGTATCTTCCCACCTAACCACGTCACACCCATGGGATTACAGTACACACAACTTTATAAACACAGCCTTTGAAAATCGTTCTGTACCATTGTTCTTTTTTTTTTTTTTCTACACCTTGATTCTCTGACTCAGCACAGTGTGGAAATCTCTCTAACCGGTGTGGGCCTCTTTCTTTCCAAAGGGCTGTGTCGGGTGTCGCACTGTGGCTGGGCCACGATGAACTCAGCGGTTCCCTTGTGGACACATGTTCACTCTGTTTCCAATTTTTTGCTATTTAAAAAACTGCACAGAACTTTTTTTTTTTTTAAAATTTTTAGAGTGAGTGCACAGGAAAAGGCTAACGGTTCCTTTGCACGTGAGTGTGGTTGTAGAGAAAGGGCGAACCGATGCAAAGGCAGATGGGAATCACAGGACCAGCTAAGTGATGGCCATGCCAGGAAACTTGGACACTGCACTGGGCCCTCGGTTGTGAACAGAGGCCTGGCTCCCAGGGGCTGGGGCAGGGAGGTGTCTGCAACTTCTGCTTTTGCTCCTGCTGTTCAGAAGAGAGAGACTACACACAAGTTGGGCTGTCTTCTTGGGGTAGGGGATGGGAGACTCAGACAGAGCTAGCACAGAGCAGAGCTGGAGCCCTGCACATGTATGCGTGCATGGTCTGTCACATCCTAGCACATGCAGTCACGCCCACGCATGTTCACACACCGCAGCCCGCATCCCAACCCCTCCCCTCCCCCAACACTTGAGAAATGCCGAAAGCGACAGCAGAGCCCTGGGACCCGTTGCTGTGGGAACCAGGACTCTGCAGTCCTAACTTGTGGGCATCTGAATTCTTGTTCTGAATATTGCATTAGCTGCAGAGTTTGTGCTCTGAATTCTGAGTGATTCCCCTCCAGGGGGTCAGCCTGGGCAGCCGAGCAGGGAGCTGGTGAGGATGGGCAGTTACAGCCTCATTCTTTGCTGTCTGGGTGATGGAGTGGTCCAGATGGAAGCAAGCAGGAAGGAGGGCAGTGGCTGTAGGGGGTATGTGCGTGTGTGTGTGTGTGTGTGTGTGTGAGAGAGAGAGAGAGAGAGAGAGAGAGAGAGAGAGAAAGAATGCTCATCAGGGTGGGAAGCCACTGAATTTTTTTTTTTTTTAGATTTTGCTACATTGTTATTTTAAATTTTTGCATTTTATGGTGCAATTTTGTAGGCCATTGAATCTTGCTGGGTCTTCAGCCTCTGTCAGTCAAGCCAGGTGGGGCGAGGTGGTGACAATAAGACTCGCCCCCTAATCTGGAGGAACCTAGTGAAGGGTGGTTGCTTAAGTCACACAAAATCCAAGTCAGGTCAGCATCCTCCTCTGTCTTCCAGCTGCTTCTGGAACCCAGGACCTTCTCACATCCTGCAACAGGGAAGACACCAAGTATGGATGTTAGCTCTCTCCTCCCTGCAGTGGCTGGAAGGGAGCATGCATCCTTCTATGCAAGCTTCCACTGCCCCAACCCAGCTGCAGGGGAGATCAGACGAGGCCGAGAGCCAGGTCTCAGGGGAAACCAGGCCATTCTGAAGGCCTGGTCCCGTGCGGGGTGGGGGCGGGGTGTGGTAGACCAGGGGTCCAGGTCCCAGGAGACAGTTCATAGCTTGGTTCTGCGCTTGCTTGCTAGCCGATGGCCTCGGGGCCACTTTCCAGGCAGGGTTCCCCCAGGAAATAGGAGTTGAAAGGCAGCTTGTTCACAAAGGCACTCCTGCAACGCAGTGATCAAGGGCACCATGCTCGGGTCCTCAGGAGAGAGGACCTGGGGTGATCTGTGAGATGCCAAAGATGGGCATGAGGAGGCAATTACCTTGGGAGAAGCAGTGACTTCAGAAAAGGCACAGCCTGCCCGAGGGACCTCATAGAGAGGAGTCTGAAAGCAGCATGCAGCATCGCTGGCCTCTTGCCCTCCTGTCTCTGCTGGGGCTCACACTGGCTGACATCAGCAGATGCCTTCAAATGGCCGTGAAGATCTAGTTCCAATGGAGCCGCCTTGTGGGACAGAGCAAGGAGTGACTCTGGAAGCACAAACGGCCATTGTCTAGCACAGCATCCCTTTATTTAAATGTAGTTTTTTAAAAAGAAAATATTTATTTATTTATTATTGGAAAGACAAATCTGTAGAAAGAGAGACAGAGAGAAAGATCTTCCATTTGCTAGTTCACTTCCCAAGTGGCCTCAGAGACAGCCAATCCAAAGCCAGGAGCCAGTGGCTTCTTCCAGTTCTCTCATCTGGGTTCAGGATCCCAAGGCTTTGGGCCGTCCTCCTCTGGTTTCCCAGGCCACAAGCAGGGAGCTGGTTGGGAAGTGGAGCTGCCAGGATATAAACCGATGCCCATTAGGGTTCCCAGTGCATGCAAAGGTAGGGTTTAGCCACTGAGCCATGGTGTTTAGCCCCCATTTCCTGTTTAGACCTCCCTTACCTAGTTTGTAGTAGAACTGGAATGCCAGTGTCTGCCTCACTGTGTGTGTGTGTGTGTGCTGTTCCTCTTGAATTAGCAAGTGTAGTGCAAGGACCTTGGCCAGCGAACGTTAGTTTCTCAGTAGCAGTTCTCAGCGGACCATGTGCCAATTCTGCTCAAGCCACAGGTGTCAGAACAAATCCTGCAAATGCAAATTGTTCCCAAACTGCTCCTGTTTCTGAGCTGCTTCCATATGGCAAGTATTCCACAGGTGTCATCTCCTCTCAACCTTACAACATTTTCCTAAATGTTACCGATAGTAAATTAGAATGGGTGGAAAGAGAGGCTGAGCTGCCCACCCGTGGCCGCACCGGCGGCTCTAGCCTTAGTGCCCGTGTTGCTCCTCCCTGTGGCTCTGTCTTGATGCCTGAGAGGTGTCTGTGATTCTTAGATGATGCAAGGGATGAGGCTGAGGGCCGTGTCCTTCCACAGGCTGCAGTACATGGGCAGGATAGGCTCAGCCCATGCCTCCCCATGTGCCCTCCACATCCTGCCCCACTCACTGACCATGGCTGCTGCTGGTTAATTTCAGGTCGCCCCCCTCCAGCACCGTTGGGCCAACCGGACACCAACAGTACACACAGCAAGCCCTTGGAGCCACGTGAGCCAACCCATTTCTCCAGTGTCAGCTTATGGAGATCAAGTAGGTTGAAGAGGGAGAGAGACTTTGGGCGCACCCAGGAGGCTCCTGGCCTTGGGACAATACTTCTTCCCAACTCAGCGGTTGGAGTTTTGCCATTAGAGTCACAGTTCTGTCACAGACACACACATACAGATTTTCCTGGAGACCTGTCAGGGGATTTGTGGAGAATCAGCTAAAGAGTCTGTGGTGGTACTGCAGATGCCACCAGGTACCCAACAGGGAGGCTCATGAGGGAGCCACTCTGTGCCAAGCCATGAGCTAGCCCTGCGGACCCAGTCACAGGCAAAAATGGAGGGTGGTTCCCAAGCAGAAGCCCATCACCAACTGCACATCTGTCCTCCGGGACATTGGGGTCACTTCAGAGCCACAGAGACACCCAGTGGACTAGGGCCCCGACCCCAGAACTCTGCCCTGGAGACAGGGATGAGTGGGGTCGGGGGACCCCATCTTCCACTCTAAGGAGAGCTAGGAGGTCAGACCTTAAAGGGTGGCTCGGGATGAGCCCACATAATCCCATTTTACAGACTGGAAAACTGAGGCCCCCAGAGACCTAGCAGGACCTCATCCAAGCTCACCCACAGGGTTAACAGGGGAAAAGGGCAGAGTGTGACTCCTTCTCTCAGCTCGAGTCTGGCACTTGCAGGGCCCCGCCTGGTGAATGGGAGCAGCCGCTGCAGCGGGGTGGTGGAGATCCAGCTCAACTCGACCTGGAAGCCCGTGTGCGGGTCCCCGCCTTGGGACAGCCGCGCCGCTGAAGCTGTGTGTCGCGTGCTGGACTGTGGCGAGCCGGTCCCGCCTACCCAGGAGCTGCTCTGGGGATCCGCTGGTGGAAACGCCAGCAGGGCCCCGAATACCTCTTTGCCAGCGGTCCGGTGCAACAGTTCCGAGTGGCAGCTCTGTGAGGTGGTGAACCGGCCTTGCAGCACCGAAGGGAAGCCGGTGCAAGTCACCTGCGCAGGTAGGTACAGTGCTGGGTCTCCAGAGCGCCCAGGTTCCTAGACGCACACCATTTGGATGGTGCGGGTTCAGCCTGCCCTTTCCGAGCTCGGGGTGTCTGCCTCGACCCTTCACCCCAGGTACTGCAGACACCGATAACCCAGGGCACACAGCCCAAGTAGCTCCTGGTCCTTCCACTATGCCCCGCCCCACCCACAACTCTCCTGCTCAGGACCCCAAGTTCCGGCCCCATCCCCCACAAAACCCTCCCTCCCCCAGAGAATCGCGTGCTGCGTTTGGTGGACGGTGGGAGTCCCTGTGCTGGACGCGTGGAGATGCAAGAGCATGGCAGGTGGGGGACAGTATGCGATGACACCTGGGACCTGGAGGATGCCCACGTGGTGTGCCGGCAACTGGGCTGTGGCTGGGCCATCCAGGCCCTGCCCGGCCTGCACTTCAGCCCTGGCCAAGGGCCCATCCACCGGGACCAAGTGAACTGCTCCGGGAACGAGGACTACCTTTGGGACTGCCCAGGGATGCCAGGAGCCCACTACTGTGGCCACAAGGAAGATGCCGGCGTCGTGTGTGCAGGTCAGTGGGAGCACAGCCCAGCTGTCTCCAATCATCAACACTCTACCCACCTGCTGGGTCCCTACCCTCAGATGCTCACAGCTCAGGCAGGGAGATGAGACCCAGGCAATTCAGGGAAGTACGTGTTGGAATGCCCCCAGAGTTTTCCAGGGAAACACAATCCAGGAAGGATGAGCCTGTCCACCCACTGGAGGAGGTGACACTTCTCCAGAGAGGACGTCTCACTTAGTTTCCAGCTGTAGGAGGAAGACAAAGGCAGGACTCCCCCAAGGAGGCCGTTGGCCCTTCCAGATGCTTCTTGCGGGATGAGACTGGTGGTGGAGGGAGTGTGTTAGAGCAGCTCCTGGTTGAGCAGGCCTGAGCAAGCCTGTGCGTTCTGTGTCTTAGTAAGATCCCAGTACTTCTGACGCTGCTGCTCCCTGGACCCCACCTTGAGGAGTGAGGATCGGGAGCCAGCCAGAGCAGATGAAAGGGGTGCAGGTGCAGGAAGGAGATTGCAGAAGCTCTTGAGGCCGATTGGCTGCAGTGGCCCGCGGTGTCTGCACTGGGGTGTGCTGACTGGTGGGTATTCCAGTTCCAAAGACTTCCTCATCTCCTCCCTACAGAGCACCAGTCATGGCGCCTGAGCGGAGGTGCCGACCGCTGCGAGGGGCAGGTGGAGGTGCACTTCCGAGGGGTGTGGAGCACAGTGTGTGACAGCGAGTGGTACTCCCAGGAGGCCGGTGTGCTGTGCCAGGCTTTGGGCTGCGGGACCGTGGTGGACAGGCCCAAGGGGCGGCCGCATTCGCTGGCGGGCAGGATGTACTACTCCTGCAAGGGATGGGAGCCCACCCTTTCTGACTGCTCCTGGCGATTCAACAACTCCAACCTCTGCAGCCAGTCACACGCGGCCAGGGTCCTCTGCTCAGGTACGCTCCCCTCCAGCTACCCACACCCCTCATCACCCACAGAAATGACCCAAGGATTCCACCCAGGTGCGTGGCCTGAACTTGTAGCTCAAGAGCTACGCTGGCACCTGAGGGACCCTTAGCTGAGTCAACAGGATGATCTTTGCTGCAGATGTTCAAATCCAGCCCCAGAGTCAGGAATTAAATATTGAGGAATGTCTTACAGGATGCCAAGCCACTGTCACTGCTCAGGAGGTGACATCTGTTTGCCAGCCAGGGGGTGGTGAGCACAGTACCAACACAGTCAGGGCACGGTGATCATATGAGCGATGATGCTTTCAGGGACCTTCATTATGGCTAGGAGAGCGTACTCCAGCCAAGTCCCCTGCCCCCTCAGATCCAAGACAGCACTGATGGTAAGGTACACCATGGTTACTGCCCAGAAGGTAAAGAATGAGAGAGGTTGGCAAAGTGAACTCCTTGGATGCCAGCCAATGCCACTGCCAAGCGCATGTCCCCCACTTCTGAGATATCCAAGGCTGAACAGGGCTATAAGACCTAAATACATCCCTGGGATGTAGGCACCCCTGTGGAGTGCAGTGACCTGGTCATTCATTCCAGCTCTGCCACGAGCCAGCTGGGCAGCTTCACAGCTCGCCCTCACCTGCACCCGGACTGTTAGTTTCATGAACAGGTGCCCGTTGTACTAGGGTACCTGGGACATCAGGTAACGTCTGTGAAGAGATTCTGCAAGCTCATGTCTCTGTCAGTGTGCCTGTCAAATGGGGATGCTGACTATGCTAATGCAGATGATAGAATAAAAACGAGGCCTGAACAGAAAAGGGATTTGTGGTTTGGGGCAGATTAAACAGAAGGATGATTCTTCTGTTAGCTCCTGACTCTAACTAGAGAACCTGCCAGCGTTTAACCCCTCACCTCCTGCTTTTTGAGAAGGAGTGGGAAGAAGTCTCCTTGGCATCATGCCCCAGCTCCAGGCTACGTGTCTGCCTTGTTCAGGATCACACACCAGGCTGAGCACACAGTAGGTGTTCAGGATTTGTGCTGAGGGAGTGGGTGGTGCTTTCCACAGGTTCGCGGAGTTTGAACAACCTGTCTACTTCCGAAGCCCCTGCAAGTGTCCAGCCGGCGTCCACAGGTGAGTGTTGCTGGGGACTTAGTCTCTCTGACACGCAGGGCTCTGTGTGTGCATGTGTGTGTGTATGCCTGCACATGCACTGTGTGTGCATCTGTCTGGGGTGGGCGGTGGCCAGTGGACTTGCTTCCCAGAAGCCCTCTGGGCACTTTGTGCTATTGTCCTGCTTCTGACAGCCCAGGGATAAAAATGCCTTCCTGTAGGGCAGAAGGCTAGAGCTGGAGAGAGGCCAGATGGTCCTGGCCTGCCAGGTCATGGGGACCAGCCAACATTTCCAGGCACTGGGACTCATGCGTGTCAGCTACTATTCCCAGCCCTTTGCTGCTCTCCACAGTGACCTGGGAGAGGACTCTTGGAAGAAGCTGAGGCTTGGGGCGGAAGTGACAGCAGGGGTTCGCCAGAATCAGCATCCAAGACCTTAACTTCAAACCTACATTTGTTTTGTGTGCACCAGTTGTATAGCCTGGCCAGCATCAAGCCCAATGCCTGGGCTTAGATGCTCCCTGTGCCTCTTGCCAGCTGTGTGATGTTGGGCAACAATGAACCAACCGAGCCTCCGACTCCTCAGCTACAAAATGGGGCTCTTCTTTGGGTGATCTAGTCCAGGCCCAAGATCCCTCCTGGCCATGGCATAGCCACAGGGTTTGCCCAAAATCCTCTGCTCTGACCTGGCTCCCTGTCCCCCGTCTCAGGTACTGCAACATCAGGAGGATGTGCAGGCTGCAGAGCAGGTGCCTGCTGGGTGCACCTTGAACACTAGCTCTTGCTGAGGCCGAGGTGGGATGATCCCTCTTGTGTCAGTGTCCTTCCTCCAGGGATGTCCTCGGGAGGATACTAGCTGTGCTCCTCGCCCATGGAGAGTAAGGTGCCCCCAGTGAGCCTCAGGCCCGGCGTCTCCGTGCAGGTCTCCATCACAGGTGTCTCCCACACTGGATAGATCTGCTTGTCTGCCATCGAGGTACCTGAGGCTGCTATCATAGTTGTATCTTTAGCATCTCATGCCTGATACATGGTAGGTGCTCAACAATCGTCTGTTGAACAGAAATGGAGTTCTACAGGGATAACAGAAACCCCTGTAGACTTAGAGCCATAGGACAGTTTCCAGTGGTCAACTCCTGTGGTTAATTGCCCCTTCACTCAGTATGCATTTATGGAGCACCTGTTGTATTCCAGGCACTCAAAAGCAGATGAGAAAATCCTTTTAAAGGAAGGGAGGGAGAAAAGTTAAAAAGGAGGAGGGATTCAACTGTAGGAAGAGTGGTAAGGCAGCAAAAAAAAAAGGTGAGGAGAACTCTACCCATTTCTTTCCCTCTCTAACTTGGGGTTCTTTCCAGAACCTTCTGTGATAGTGAAAGTGGATGACAAGGAATCCCGGGAGCTGGCACTCCTCATCCCCTGCATCATCCTGGGAATTCTCCTCCTTGCCTCTCTCATCTCCATAGCCTGCATCCTCTTGAGAATCAAAGGGAAGTACGGTAAGTGCAGGGCTGGGAGAGGCACTGGGAAGGCTTGGGGACCCAGGCTGCACACTGGGTACAGCCGTCCTAGAGCCTCACGAGCTTTGATGGAACTCCAGCAGGAGTGGTGTGAACCAGCAGTGACCCCCCCAGCACTGGGAAACACCTCTGTCTGCTGGGAAGGACTTTCCCAGTGTGTCCAGCAGAAGCACAGAGGTGGAACCACCACTGTGGCTCTCCCAGGAAGAGTAGCCAGTGTGCCCATGCCTGTGTATGTGTGTGTGCATGCGTGTGTGTGCATGCGTGTAGGGAGGAAGCAGGTGGCTTGATGAGAGCAGGCAAGGTAGACTGGATAGGGCAAAACAATGACCTATAAGACTCTCTGCCTCCCCTCCTTCAGCCCTCCCTGTTACCATGAACCACCAGTACCTGCCCACCACCATCCCAGCAGGGACCAATAGCTACCAAGCGGTCCCCATCACCATCCCCAAAGAAGAAGGTAGGATGTGCCCCACCCTGGGCGTGGGAGGTGGGAGGACAGCCAGGGCAGGCTCTCTGCTTAGGTCAGAACAGTGCCAGCCTCCTGGAGGTGACACCCCTACAGCCCACTTGTGGCTGTGGGATCTGGGAGCAGGTCCAGTGCCTCTTGAGCTGGATGCGTAGGTGATGTCCAAGTTCAGGCCACTAGGCTTGTGAGTTCTGGACCAATACAGACCCAGGGCAGTTTGGATCTTGGTTCTTGTGGAAAGCTGCCCAATCGGTACATGGAACATAGATTTATTTTGTGTTTTCCAAGTGAAAAAGACATTGGGCCAAGAATCCATCCTTTATGATGTAAAGTCTGAAAGCTCTTGGGAGTCACACGTAGGAGCTGGAGTTTAATCACTTTGCATTATTAGTATATTTAATCATCTTCATAAAAAAAGAGCGTGAAGACATGAAAACCTATATAAAACTTAACCAAATATAACAGCTTTTCTTTGCACACCAGATCTGGATACTTGAGAATAGAATAGGAATGTAGTATCTTTTAAAAACATTATTTATTTTTTATTGAAAGGCAGATTTACAGAGGAAAAGAAAGAGAGAGAGAGAGAGAGAGAGAGAGAGAGAGAGAGATCTTCCATCTGCTGGTTCACTCCCCAAGTGGCCTCAATAGTCAGAGCTGAGCTGATCTGAAGCCAGGAGCCAGGAACTTCTGGGCCTCCCACATGGGTGCAGGACCCAAGGACTTGAGCTATCCTGCACTGCTTTCCCAGGCTTTGTAAGCAGGCAGCTGGAACACAAACTGGTGTCCCTATGGGATGCTGGTAATGCAAGGTGGAGGATTAGCCTGTTGAACCACTGTGCCAGCTGCAGTAATGCAGTATCTTGAGCAAGGCTCACTAACAAGCAGTCACTCAAGCATCTAGAAGTTTAGAACCAGAACACCTGCCTGTCTGGGCAAGGTGAGAACCTCTGTGTGCCTCAGTTTGTCTACCTGTAAACTGGGGCTAAGAATCTACCTACTCCACAGAGTCAAGATATAAGTAAATGAGATCAGAGCTGTAAATGGCATGTTAGCATAGGGCCCAGCACAAAGAGTGTGCTCCATAGAATGTTTGTTAAGCAAATAACTGTGGTTGGCTCCATGAGTTTGAAGTAGAAAGGCAAGCTAGGAGAACTCTCATTGGACAGTCCTGTTTGAGATGGACCACTGGGTGCTGTCCTGCCCTGTCTGCTGTCCCCCCTCAACCCTCTCCCGACACCTTTCTGCCCTCTGCTCTGATCTCTCCCCAGTTCCCAAGCTGTCCATCCAGGTCCGGGCACAGCCTGCCGAGGACTCGAGTTCCAGCTCAGACTCAGACTACGAGCACTATGACTTCAGCACCCAGCCTCCCGTGGCCCTGAGCACCTTCTACAGTGAGTGCCTGTAGGCTCCCCAGGACTCACTTTGCCCCTGTCCCAGGTCCTGCCTGTGACCCCTGCAGAGGGTGGGCAGGATCCGCCTTCTCACCCACTGTATCTGTTGACAGTGGGCCCACACTGAACTTTCAAAGCACTGAGTGACCTGGTAGTCAGCTCCATGTCTCAAGGCATTTCTGTCCTGACCAGGCAGGGTCTTCCCTATCATGGAATGTGTGGAGAAGCTCTTTAGGAGGAAAAGAGGCTTATTTTGGCTCACGGTTGTAGAGGTTCCCAGTTCGTTATCAGGAGGGTGCCATGGCTGAGCCCTCGCAGGAGGCAGAGCATGCATGAAGTGCCCACACGCGAGCCAGGATGTGGTGGGGGAGGATGGCTGGGCCTAACTCTGGCCTTTGTTTTCTTTTTGATTGGAGAAGCAAGGGATCAGAGAACCCACCTGCTGATTCACTTCCTGACTGCCTGCAATGGTTCAGATGGGCTAGGCCAAAGCCAGGGGCTGGGAATTCTGTCCTGGGCATCAGGAATCCAAATTGTGAGCCATTATGTTGATCACTGCCTCCTTGGATCTACAGTGGCCCCACTTTTTTTTTTTTTAGATTGATTCATTTATTTGAAAGGTGAAAGAGAGGGAGAAGGAGAGTGAGAGAGAGAGAGAGAGAGAGAGAGAGAGAGAGAGAGAGAAAGAGAGATATGAGAGACCCTGCGTGCATACGTTCTCTTCCCAAATTATCACAGCAGGTCCGGGCCATCATCTGCTTTTCCAGGTGTATTAGCAGGAAGCTGGATCAGAAATGAAGCAACTGTTGGACCTTGCCAGTGTGTCCCAAGTGGCAGCTCAGCCTGCTACACCATAATGCTGGCTTCCTTATCCTAACTCTGGCTTTCAGAGCCCTCTTGGGAGAAGTACCTTCCAAAGACACGCCCACCCCCTCCCCCAGGAACCCAAGGCCCACCCATAGGGTCCACTTCTGGGAGTCCAGGCAACAGATGCTGTTGGGATGGTCTGGGATAGTCTTTTGTTTGCCCACACCTCTGTGTCCCACAGGGGTTAGCCCCACCCACCCCATTGTTATACAGCTCCCAGCTCTTAGTGTCCTGTCAGGCCCTTCCTTTCTTCTATCTGTAGGGGGAGGGGAGCAGCATAGGGAAGATGGTGCTTCTGGTGGGGACTGGGACAGTTACAAGGAGGCAGGGGCTGACCAGAGAACCCACCCCTAGTGTGGAACCACTTCTCTAGCTCCTCCAAACCCTAATGGACATGTGTAGCCACACCCCTGATGTCTGGGGAGTCCACCTGGTCCACATAGTAAGGAATGGCCCACCTATGTTCACGTGCCAGAGCTGGGGCTGCCCCCATCAGCCCCATCCCAGCCTACCTCCTGGGAAAATGAAGCCTGTGGCCTGGCAGCTCTGCATCCAAAGCAGGCCAGGGCTGACTCCACTGTCCTGTATGCCCAGGTGCTTCAGCCTCCAGGACTCTGCTTCCCCCCTTGAAGGAGCCACTGAGGCTGTGACCCTCTGCAGCCACCATGCTAGTCTCCATGGAGGAGCAAATAGCAGCCCCTTTCCTGCCCAGAGCTGTCAGGGCACCAGGAGCAGGGCCGAGCCTCTTGCTAACTGCTTAGGTCAGAAGAGGGGCAGCTGGCGGTGCATGGCACCCTCAGTGCTTGACCCGTCCGTGTTTCAGGATAACCCTGGGTCAGTCTCATGCAGGGTCTGCCTGGGTGAGCCAATGGGAAAGGTCATGGCCATCCTGCCACCCTGGGTTCCCGGGACAAGGAGGCTGAGCCTTCACCCTCCTCAACAACCCACTCTGCCTACAGATTCCCAGCGGCACCGGGTCACAGACGATGAGGTCCAGCAGAGAAGGTTCCAGATGCCCCCACTCGAGGAAGGTGAGTCAGGCTGGGGAGGGGTGTGAGGCAGGAGCGGTGTGGATGGCAGGTTTGTCTTTAGGTTGGGTAGCTCAGTTGCCCTGGAGACTCACAGCAGTAACCTCTTGCGCTGGGTCCTTCCCAGCTTTTACAGTCACTGTGGGCCCTAAGTTCTTCCCAGAGTCTGATCTGAAGACTCTTTGCTGCATGGCTTCTGTTTTTCTCAGGACTTGAAGAGCTTCATGTCCCCATCTCAGCTGCTAACCCTGGACACAGCATGGCAAGCACTCCTTCCCTTGGCCCTCAGAGTCAACACAGAAGCCAGAGCGAGTCCAGTACCTCCTCTGGGGAGGACTACTGCAACAGTCCCAGCAGCAAGCCTCAGCTGCCTTGGAGCTCTCAGGGCTTCCCTTCAGAAAGGAATTCTCTGCTGGAGCAGCCTCCAAACCTGGAGCTAGCGAGCCCCCAGGTGACCTGCTCGGGTAAGCCAAGCTTCCCCAGCCTCCAGCCATTGCGCTGTCCTGGGTTGCGAGGTCCTGTCCCTGCTCTGAGAGTTGTTGACCAGCTCTGGCGGGTTCTCCCAGCAGGGTTCCCGGCCGAGGACAGCTCCAGCACCTCCTCTGGAGAGTGGTACCAGAACTTCCAACCACCGCCCCAGCTGCCTTCAGTGGAGCAGTTTGGCTGTCCAGGTAATGGGGCAGGTGAGAAGGCAACTGGGGAGGACCTGGAGAGGTTGGGGGGTGGGGGCGGTGGCAGCACTGTGGACATCAGCCCAGAGGATGCATCAGCCCAGGGAGAAAACGGAGATGGGAGAGGGCCAAGAGGAGAGGGGAGGGAAAGCGGAGCAAGCTTGGGGGGAAGTGAGGAACTCAAACGTGAATTGGATGGAGAAATGATCCAAGCAGCTGCTGTAGAAGGAACCGAGTCCCCCGTTTGTGCAGGTGGGCGAGTAGAAACAGCTGGTGGCCCCTGGGCGAGGCTGTAGCAGCAGAGGGGCCCTCAGCACCCACATGTTCACCAGCATGGGGACCTGAGCTAGCCAGCCAAGTTCTGCCAGGGACTGACCTGCTAGCATGGCCATGACAGCGGGCAAGGGGACAAGGGGGTATCACACAGCAGCCAGGGGAGGGGACAGTGGTCTGACCTGCTCTGCTCTTCCCCCTGGGGCAGCGGGATCAGTGACTGGGCCTCCTCCTGTCCCCACAGGGCCTCCTGCCTCCCGACCAGACTCCACGGATGAGGACGACTATGATGACATTGGAGCAGCTTAGACTGGGGCCAGCCCAGGCTTCTCAGGGACTCCCCAGTGCTGGCCTCCTGCTCTGCCTGCTCCCTGCCCTGCCCCACAACCCCTGCCATGCAGCTCTAAGGCCTCCCTGGAGACTAGAAGGGAATGCCCAATGGTAGCTCTGGAATGGAGAGGCCTGGCAAGCCCTGTTGGTCTCATGCATGATCATGCCAAGTCCAGGCCACCTCCTGCAGCTGCTGGGCAGTTACAAGGGACGCTGCTTAAGTCCCTGGTGTCCCTTGGTGAGAGGTGCTTTGAGTCCCTGAGTCTGCGACAGCTCAGAGCCCACGGGTACTGAAAGGAGATCCTATGTACTTGGGGCTCTTGGCTGGTGTCACTCAGGTAGGGGATGCTATAGGAGGCCCGGCCAGCCCGTCCTTCAAGGTGCCAGCTGCACTGGGATGGCCTTCCTGGGCACAGGTGGCTGACTGCGGGCAGGATGACCATGTGTCCGGACGCAGGGGCTGGAGTCTGATGTCAGTCCTGTCTCTAAGGACCCTCTGAAGCCACAAGCCTGTGCCCCAGGGATGGTGCCCGGACAGCCGATCCTTATTCTGGGCTTCCTATAGTTTACAAAGATGGTCCCAGGCCAGTGTTCTTGCAGACCTCAGAGTGAGGGTCCCAATCAGTCCCCGTGGAGCAATAGCTATAGAGTTATGTGCCAGGAAGCAGCTCCCTGGGGCTGCATTGGTCCCTGTGTCCCCATGGTCTCCTTTCATTGATGGGCGTGTGACTCTGCAGTGCTGACCGAGAGCGGGAGTCCCAGAGAGGCCCGAAGGCTCAGACTGGGGCCTGCTGTCCGTTCTGGATATCCTGAGACTAAACAGAATTACTAAATAAAACTGGAACCCAAAGTGACAAGTCCTTGAATTCTCATAGCACCCAGGCTCTGTGTGTAATTGTGGGCATGCATGTCACGTGTGTGTGCATGTGTATATATGTGTGTTGACATGTGTGCACGTGGCAGGCATGGGGTTTTCTCAGCAGCAGATGGGACAAAGAGTTGAGCTCAAGTCCTCATTTGGGAAGTGAACCCAGGAAATGCCAGAAGGAAAATGAGGAAGAGTAGGGAAGCATGTCAGGACCCGGAGTTCACGAACAGGCTGCACGTTTGGGCTGCCAAGGCTCGATGCTGCTAGGGGACTCGGAGACACAGCGTAGGATTATCCTGCTAAGGGGCAAGGGACTGGGAAGTGGATGGCCCAACTCTGCCTGTCACTCGTTGAGGCTGTGAACCCATCCCAGAGTCATGGAGCTGCCCTGTGAGCAGCGAGTGACAGGGCCAACCCAGACTGGATTGAGTGGCAGGCAGAGGGCCAGAGACGCAGCCTGGATGAAGTCATTTCTCATGGGGAAGGTCCGGGCAGAGCAAGGCCAGGGCCTGCTCTGTGTGTGCACCTGTGTGCATGTGAGCGTGTGTGCGTGAGAGTCAGGGATGAGGGGAGTGATGGGGGCAGAACTGTAATCCATGCAGAAGGTTCAAGTGGCCTGGGAAGCTTACCATGGCTGTAGGGACAAGGCCCAGGATCTGTCTCCCGGAAGCTGCACTCAGAGGGAGTCCTGAGCGCTAAGTAGCCGCTGCCTTCACTGCAGACTGGCTTTGTTGCACTGGATGAATTTCTCCAGAGGCAAGACAATGTGTGTGTGTGTGTATTTGGGGGAGGGGGTTTACCAAACCCAAGAGGCATCAGAGACAGGAAGGGAACCCTGGAATGGATCACACAGAGGAATCTGGTGCCCCCTCCCAAGCTTCTGCCCACCCACCAGGTCAGGGTGTCTCCCAGACCTCCTGGAATGGGGTGGAGAAGGCTGGACTGCGGGTGTCTTCTCGAGGGGCTGGAGGGACCCGTTTTCTGTTCACCTGTCCCAGAGGTGGAGGGGGGCAGGCGCTCCCCAGGGCAACCGTCACAGGATGTGGTTGGTGTGGGGGCAGTAGCAGGCCCCTCTTTCAGCTTTCTGAACTCCTTCTTCCGGGGCCCATTTTGGGGATTCCTAGAGGAGGAGCCACTGCTGGGGTAGGCAGGGCACACTCCCAGGCTGGGGTCTGGCGTCAGCTCCCAGCTCCACCTGCTCCTGGCTCTGGTCATGCGGCCTCAGGCAAGGCACTCAGCATCCTAGATTCTCTGCCTTTGCTCTGTCTGCAAAGTGGGCATGCCATGGAGGGTGACTCAGGGGTGCTGGAAAGGGTTTGAGGCTTGGGGAGGAAAGTCCCCTCCCTTATTGGTAGACGCATGAATGCAGGCAAAGAGATCTCCCGAAACAGAGGGGCAGGGGACGAGAAGGATGCTGCCATTCAGGACCTGAGCCGGCAGTACAACCATTGTGGGGTATAGCCCACTCCAACAAGGAGAGGGTGGCACTTCCTGAGTCTTCTCAAGTCCCCAATCCCAGGGGAACTGCCCCTTCCTTCACCTGGCCCTCCCCCTCCTCCCCAACTAGGACAATCCAGGAGAAACTCCAGGCCCCGTGGCCCCTGTCCTCCCCCAGTGTCACTGGGGACAGCCCGTCTGATGTACAGCAGGTGACCATAAGGCTTGAGGCAGTTGATCCCTCTTCCTGCGATGCCTCCTCGGGTCCCAAACCCTGTTCCCACCTGAGCTGGCCCTACTGGAGGCCCGGAAGTAGGAGATGACTGACATCGGGCTGTGGCCTACAGTCTCAGACCAGCAGGCGGCTCCTCCTCCACACTCAGAAGGCCTTAAGGGTATAAAGTCAAGTGGACATGGCAACTGAATCCCATTCCAGAAATGTTGCTTTTCGGGGAGGGGATGCTGAGTATGGGGATGAGGTGCAGGGCAGTGATGGAGGGCTTGGCAGCTGCAGGGGACCATTGGGAAGGCTTCCTGGGGGCAAGGCAAGCCCTGAGTGTCATGAATGGGGATGTCTTTGTGAACCCATCAAGTTGGTGGAATGGCCCCAGTGGAAACCCAGCCGAAAAACTGCTCAGCTCTCTAAGGAAGAGGCTGGATGGGTGCTGCTCACACCAAATCCATTTTGTGAGCCAGAAAGCTGAGTCCCAGACGGGTACCCAAGTTCATGGCACTAGAAGGTGGTTACACTGGAATTTGAGCAGGCATGAAGCAGCAATGATGGTGCCTCTGGGAGTGGGGCAGACCCATACCTGTCCCTGAACCCCCCTTTAGCCCCGGCCTGACTCTGGGACCAACCCAGGCATTGGCTGCATTCAGTGATGCTGGACTTAGAGATGGGATCCATTCATTGCCTGAGCACCAGCTGAGATCTAGCTCTGTGCTGAGTTCAAGCGCCAGGGCAAGGAGAGGGACAAACCTGGGCCCTGGCCCTTGGGGGAGCCTGCAGTCTCTGGAGGAGCCCAGCACTACAGCGCATCACTGTGAGTGAGTGGTGACGATGGAGCATTTCCTGGGTGGCGGGCAAATACTATTTCAACCAACTCTCACAAGGAGCACCCTGACAGGGTGTTGTCATCCCTAATTTTCAAAAAAGGAAATGAAAGCTCCAAGAGGCAAGAAGCCACCCAATGCATCATGGGTGCACAACACAAAAGCCCCAGTGTGCCCCAGCTCAGGCTGCAATACAAGTGGGTTTCGCCCAAGTGAAGCGCGGTGCATCTGCTAAGCAGCAACCACGGGAGCAGTGGGGCCACACAACCCACCTGCAGCCTCTGTGAGAAACTCCCAGCAGCCAGGTGGGAGCCCACACCTGTTCCCTCCCATCCCGAGACTGCTTACCCTCTGGGCATCTCGGCGAGAGGCACACTTTTCTCATATGTTGCTCCTGTGGCACAGACCTGCTGGGGTAGGGAAGGCCAAGCCCAGGTCTGTCTGTCCGTCCTTCCTTCCTTCCTTCCTTCCTTCCTTCCTTCCTTCCTTCCTTCCTTCCTTCCTTCCTTCTTTCCTTCCTCTTTTGCTTTAACATTTTACAAAACTTATTTCTTTAGTTTATGTGAAATGAACCCAAACAGAGCTCGTCTCCATGGACTCACTCCCAAATTCCCAGAACAGCTGGAGTTGGTGCTGAGCCATATGGAAGCCAGGAGCCTGGAACTAAATCAGGTTGTCCCAAGTGGGCAGTGAGCCTTAGAGCCTGCATGAGCAGCAAGCTGGAATGTGAAGCCCAGCCAGGCACTTCCTTCCGGAATCTAGGTGATCCAAGCTGGAACTTAATTCCTGCACTGAGCACCTGCCCCTCCCCCCTTCTTGTCTTTGTCTTACTTTCAGATGCAGAGTACTCTGACATTGTTCAAAACTCTCACATTAAATCACGTCATTAAGGCCTCATCCACACTGGCCTGCCCTCTTTAAGCAAACACTCCAGTGTTACCTGCAAATGGGCACAAGCTACTGTGAATCCCACCTGCTGGGCACCGCCTTCTCATACAAACAAGGTCACCTGTCTTCAACCCAAGATGCCTGGCACGTTTCACTTCTTGAGGGGAGGGTTGCAGAGAACATTCCCAAGGGAGTAATGTGCTGCACCTGTTGCCCTGGGACCCAGGACGGAGCACAGAGGCTGGGCACGGAGAGCTGGAGGTGCCGCAGACTGCCAGGGTTTGCTGGGAAAAGAATGACAAAGAGCAGACCGCTGAGCCTTTGAAGACATGGGGAGTCTGCTGGACAGAGAGGAGAGGGAAGAACCTCACTGGGGATGTGGCAAGCAGATTGCACATTGTCGAAAGTGAAGCCTGGGTGGGGGTGCAGGGCTAACTTGTCCTAGGGTTTGGTCCTTGTTCCAAGACACTGGGGAGTCTCGGGGAGCCCTTTCTTTTTTTTTTTTTAAAGATTTATTTTTATTTTATTTTTTTTTATTGGAAAGGCGGATATACAGAGAGGAGAGACAGACAGGAAGATCTTCTGTCCGATGATTCACTCCCCAAGTGAGCGCAATGGCCGATGCTAAGCCAGGAGCCTCTTCCGGGTCTCCCACATGGGTGCAGGGTCCCAAAGCTTTGGGCCGTCCTCGACTGCTTTCCCGGGCCACAGGCAGGGAGCTGGAAGGGAAGGCGAGGACCTTAACCACTTGCGCCACCACGCCGGGCCCAGGGGAGCCCTTTCTAAGGCAGGCAGTGCTCCTGTGAGGTGGGTGGTCTACAAAGACACCTGCTGTGAAGCCGAGGGTGGTTTGAGAGGCCAGATGCTCCCGGTGACCGGGCCTGGGGAAGGAGAAGGATTCTGGGATTTGAAAAGCAAATGTGGCCATGGAAGATGATTTTCCATGATGATGATGATGGTGATGGGGAGAGTGATGATGTCAGCTTCCATTCCCAAGTACTTGATGCGTCAGTCCCTGTTCTGGGCATGTCATAGCCCCATGAGGCTCTGGAATTGACCAGCGTATGAAGGAAGAAACAGTGGCTTGGGAAGGTTTGGAGTTCTTTCCAGAGCCGTCCTCTCCTCACTGTGTGGCTGGACACTGAGTTCTACTTCCCAAGGCCTTCTAAGAGTGGCAAAGCCCACGTAAAGGCTCACATATCCATGCCTATTGACTTTCATGTCTGGGGGCTTTGCCCACAACCACTTCCTATCCTCCAGATGTCTGCGACGACCCAATGGACGAGGCCAGGGGGAGGGATTCTGACAGGTCTGTCCACCAGGGCTCCAAGGCCGCCCCCGCCCTCCGCCCCAGGAAGCCTAGGCTGGGGCCTTGCCTGCTGGCTCTCAGCCTTCCCCACTGGTACACCTGTCACCCTGCTGTTCAGCTCCCCATCCCTCCCTCTCGCCCCCACTTGTGGTTTCCACATCCGTTCCTTGTGAAGACCCTCTCAACAGGGCTGAGAGGTGGACAATGGTACCTGGAACCCATGCAGTACCAATGAAGTCCTCTGGCTGTGGACCTCGCTGCCCACTCCCGTCCCTTAGTGGATTGTTGCAGATAG